GGAGTCTGGCGGTGGCGGCCGAAGTCCGTCGGTGGCCGGAGTCCGGCGGCGGCCGGCGACCGGCGGCAAGCGGCGGTCAATGCTGGCGGTCAACGGTCAAAGTCTAGTCAGCACCCTTCCTTTGATTTTATTTTTTCAAAAAAAATTTAAATTGTTGAAAAAATATGGTGAGCTTTGCCTTACAGTTTGGTGAGCTTTGTAGTTATCTTTGGTGAGCTTTGCAGTGGCTAGTGGTGAGCGCAGCGCCAAATATATATATATATATATATATATATATATATATATATATATATATATATATATATATATATATATATATATATATATATATAAATATATATATATATATATTTATATATATATATATTTATATATATATATATTTATATTTATATACATATATATATATATATATATATATTATTTTTATTTTTATCATTTTAATTATATGATAATTATTGATGTCAAAATAAAACATGATATATTTCAAATATGGGATGACCGAAATTTCAAGAGGAAAATCCAAGACCATTTTGATTTTATACATAAAGTATTTTTAATTTCAAATTGATATATTTGATTATTATTTGATGTAGGGATTCTATTTTGTTTGGTAGCTAAGATATTAAACATTTACACATGGTGTTAAGACATATACCTGGACTTATGCTTAACATTGATTTCCTAGCAATTTCCTAAATATACTTTATTATAAAATGAGGTCTTGATTTTTAATATACACACCACAAATTTCGGCCATCCCATTTTAGAGAGAAGAAAATTTTATTTTGTGTTCAAAGTTATTTTTCTAAAGTGTTAGAAATATACACAAAATATTATAAAGAAATATTTATAAGATAAATATTTTTTACTATATATTTATTACTCCCAAAGTAGTATTATTATAGTTTTTACTATCCTAAATTAAACTTGCTAGCACAAGTATAATCTAGGACTCCGGAGCAAGTTCGTATGGATACGTTGGAGGCTTCATACGTTTGGCGCTACGTTCATCTCCTCAAAACCATCCCTGACCGTTTCTCCATTCTCCGTTTTTCACCGCTAAGGTAAATTTCTTACTATAGCTAGTAATTTACGTAAGTTGTTCTTGGGTGGAATCGAGTTTTGGACTCTAAATTTTTGTTTTCCGCTGCGTCATCCAAGCCTCGTTTCCCAATAGATTCCATTACTCCCGTAAGTATAAATTGAATTATATCTAGCAGGCAGATGGAGTAAGTATGCATAAGAACTAAGTTGAAATATAAGCGTAAATAGTGGGATAGTTGGATAATGTTATTTGCTAATTTTTCTGATATTGTTTGATTATATATTAATGGGTACTAGTCTATGAGTTAGTTTTAGCGTTATATACTTCCACTCTCCCTATTTTTACAGGTAGGGATCAAGGATTTGATAAGGAGCAACCTTGAGGACAGTGAAGCGTGACGCTGGTGGATGACCGAAGATGTTTTATTTAAATTAAATAAGTTTGTTGGATTTGTTTATTTAAATTACCAGAATGTTGAATGTTGTTTTTTTAAAGGCTTCCGCAACGTTTCAGTTATTTAATCTGATTAAACGATAAATTGTTTTCAATAAATATGGATGTTTGTTTTATTTTCAAATGTTTTTAAAATATTATGCATGTGCATACCAAATTGGTGACAACCCGACTCACTAACTCGTCGGTTTGGGTTATGCGGGTTGGGATGTTACAGGCTGTTACTCGTTATTGTGCTCTCATTTTTAGTATGATATGTGGGATTGGTGTCAGGGAGTATGGTATTTTTGTGGGTTCATTTAGGAGTTTGGTTTTTGATATTTATCGGGTTAGACATTGCCATGTGTTTTCATTTTTAGGTCTAAAACCATTTGGTTGTGGTGTGACACGGTTACATTATTTTTGGCAATGCGTGCTAGGGTTATTGTTATTTCGTGGTTTGATGTCAGTTTTAGATTACATTGGTGTATCATAAGCATACTTTGTTTCAGTGTATGGTACATGGCAGTATTTGGTAGGGTAACAGCTTCCTTGGTGCTAGTAAAATTTGATAACTGTGTGCATCTGTCACATTTTCACTGCCTGTCGGGTTTGGATGCTAAGATGAACTCACACACTTCTAGTGGTGCTGTGGGAAGTGTTGTGCGGTTTAGGGGTGGGAGTTTGGAATTATGGTATTGGAAGTGTAAGTTGTTTACACAAAAGGGGGGGTGGTGGCTTCTGAAATGAAGTGTCACACATCCTCTGTTGTGGTGGGTAGTTTTGAGACTGTTTGCAGTGTGAGTTTGGAGTTGGGGTATGGGCAGTGGAAGCTTGGGGTACAATTTCTTCTTGTTTTTCTCAAGGCCAATGTATTTGTCGGGATGTAGGCAATGTATCTAACCCCCCAATAAGTGTTAGTAATGGCGTGACTAGCTTCAATTGTTGTGGTGTCTGTTTTGTGTGGCATTTTCAAAGTAACTTTGGAATTTGAATTTTGGGATGTTTAGGATTTTATAACAGTTACACCGAATGTTCTGAGGCTGGGTTTTTTGTACGAAATGTAAGTTGTATGTAGACTTCCACATGGTGGCTGAGTGGTGTTTGACCTGTGAGCAATGTTCAGTTGGAACAAACCTCCGCGAAGACAACATATTGTAATAGGTTAGTAGACCTGGAGTTATGTTTGGTCGGTGAAGTTTTATGGTGTACTTAATGTATGTTTTGTATTGGCAGTGTAGTGTCACACTACCTCCATGTGGGATGTTGTGAGTAATTTCGCGGCCGTTTTACATTGATATGGAAGTGAGTCCACATTGTGTGGCTGTTTTGGTATGTTTATAACGAAGTATGTTTTCAAGTTTAGAAATTACTGTGGAATGTATGTGTGGTCATGCAGTTGTGAGTTTGTTTGTAATGTAGGAAATGTAATTATTGATTCTGTAGAAATGTGGAATCTTGAGGGGGGGTGTGGGTACACACTGCCTTTTTTTGGGGGTGGGGTCAGGGTGGTTTTCAAATTGACCAATTTTGGGGTCCGTAAATTTGGGGTCGTTTGTAGTGTCACACTGCCTCCATGTGATATGTTGTCATTAAATTCAGGGTCGTTTTACGTTGATATGGGGTGGTGGTCCCAAAGTGGTGAGATACAAAGTCTAGAGGGGGGGGTGAATAGACTTTGTTACAAATTAAAAACTTTTTCGTTTCTTTTTGAAAACGTGAAAATGGGTGTTTAGTCTAGAGTTCTTGTGAACCTTAGATTGTGTGCGGAATTTGGTGGATTAATAGAGCAGTAATCAATATGGATGGGTTAGTTTTCACAGTTAATATAATTGCAAGTATATGTAAAGATAAAAGAGAGAGACACGCAAACTTTAACGAGGTTCGAAGGTGGGGTAATCCTTCTACGTCCTCAAAATCCACTATGTAGTTGGTTGTTGAATAATGAACCAACAATTACACTTGTGTGAATTTCTGCACGGTATATCTTCGCAAGGCCAATCTTGCTATTTCACTCGTGCTGGCTTTGTTGTTCCTTCCAAGGTCAAGCTTCTTCAATAACAGCAAGATCCGAACAATATGACTTGCAAGATCAACTTGTAAGAAAGTTGATGTACCCCCTTTTTAATCAAGAAGTTTGATTAAAAGCTGTATCCTTCAACGTGGTGTGGTACTTGAGGCAAGGAAACCTTCAAGTGTTTACACTATAGCTCTTTGGAAGGAGGAGAAGTTTGCTTCTAGATAAGGAGTTTAGAAATCTCTCTTTATCAAGCTTTTTGGCTAACTGTGAATGAGATAGCTTTATTGTAGTTAGGTTGATAATGGATCAGTTCTCCTTTATCTCATTCGTGTTTTTCTCCAGTCTTCCAAGGATGCTATTTATAGCTGGATTGGGTAATCTATCTGTTGAATCAAAATAGACTATCCGTTGCATTTGCTGGCTTCAATTTTGAATGAAGATTGTGATTTGAGGATTCCTCATTGGAATGGGTGTTTGGACATACCCAATTGTTTGAGAAAGGATTCCTTTTTCCACAGAATCGGTCTTCTAGCTGTTGTTCAAGAATTCTGGACTGTAGCTCTTTATTGAGTGAGTACTCAGTTTGTCTTCTAGTGCTTGTTTAGGAATTCTGGGCGAGCTCTTCAATTTGAGAAGTCCAGACTTTGTCTTCAAGTTATTTGTTCTTGAATCAGCTTAATTATCCTAACTAGCCGTTGAAAATCAAGAGATGTATTTTTCCTTACCAACGGGTAGAATTTCTTCATTCAACCGGTCTTTCTTGAGGCATCCGATTCTTTGATGACAAAGCCGGAAAAGTCATTCATAGACTTCCAGGTTAGAAAGAGGTTCGCGCTAGTCTTCCGACCCGGATGACTTAGCCTTCAGCGAGTTGTAGCAAGACATTCGGTTATCATGTAGTGTTCTGGATTAGAGGATCTTCATAGTAATCAACTGCTTTGAGAATTCCTTACTTGTCTCTGACATTTCCGATCAAGATATCCAATTTCCATATCATAGAATTCTATTAAGTCTTCAAAGATTGACATCAAACCACAGAGTGAAATATCACAACTTTATTGGAAATCTCAAGAACTCGGTTTTAATAATATTTCTAAAAAGAAAAATTACATTAAATATTGGGTGAGACCTAAAGTCCCTATTACAATCTAAATACAACATCATCAAAATCTATAATAATTTTCCCAACAATTTCCCCCTTTTTGATGATGACAAACAAGTGTTTAAGAGTTCCGGTCGATGTACTGAGAACTAATTTTATAAATTTATTTTAGTTTCTCATAATATAGAGCTTGTTAACAAAAACTCTTAAACAAATACAATTCAAATTACAATAATTCCTAAACCAAGTCTAGTCTTGAGATTTGTGATATTTTCTGCCATTTGCTGCTTTCATTTCCAGTGGATTTTGCTTGGTAGTACAGATGGCGTTGTGTTTGATGGATCTCAATATCTAAAGTGGATATTTGAGATCTAGGAAGCAACATCTCTCCAAAAAGAAAAAAAACAAAAAGAAAATAGAGGGAAAGGAGGAGCTGGTGAAAGGAAAGAAAAAGACAGAATGACAAGAAAAAGGTTTTGGTAAAGAGAATAGATTGTGAAATAGATAAAAGAAGGGTTTTTAAAGATGAAGGGAATAAAAAAAATTTAGAAAGAATTTTAAAAGAAAACCTATGGTTACTAGGGAAGAAAAGGTTTTGAAAAACAGAAGGGGAAAGAAAACAAAAAAAATTTTAAAAAGATAGACAAGCCTGGGAATGTTGGGAAACGAGGCTTGGATGACGCAGCGGAAAACAAAAATTTAGAGCCCAAAACTCGATTCCACCCAAGAACAACTTACGTAAATTACTAACTATAGTAAGAAATTTACCTTAGCGGTGAAAAACGGAGAACGGAGAAACGGTCGGGGATGGTTTTGAGGAGATGAACGTAGCGTCAAACGTATGAAGCCTCCAACATATCCACACGAACTTGCTCCGGAGTCCTAGATTAAACTTGTGCTAGCAAGTTTAATTTAGGATAGTAAAAACTATAATAATACTACTTTGGGAGTAATAAATAAATATATAGTAAAAATATTTATCTTATAAATATTTCTTTATAATATTTTGTGTATATTTCTAACACTTTAGAAAAATAACTTGGAACACAAAATAATATTTTTCTTCCTTTCTCTCTCTATGGCCGAAATTCACCCTTGAAAATGGGGAGGGATATTTCTCATTTTATAATATATTGCATTAAGGAATTGCTAGGAAATTGCTTAGGGACAAAAACAAATTTGGCTTAAAGCATTGTTCCCAACCAACACAACAATACAAATATTCTTTACTAATCAAATATTTGATTATATAAATCAAATATATCATTAGGTAAAAAATCAAAATATGTTTTGTATCTTTCTCTTGAAATTTTCGGCCATTTCAAATTTATAATATATCATATTTTATTTTGACATCAATAATTATCAAATAATTAAAATGATGAAAAATAAAAAATTATATATATATATATATATATATANAAATTTGTTTTGTCAAAATATAATTATCATATAATTAAAATGACACAAACAAAATATAATTTTAAAATACATATGTATTTTCGAAATACATATATATGTATAAAATTATCACAACTATATATTTAATATTACTCCCACTAGTGTAGTATACTACTCCCTTACAAGTCCTAAGTGTGTGACCCTTTAGGTATCCATAACACTGGCAATGATATTAATAAAATTAATACCATACACTACAAGAAAATAGGGATATAAGGACACTAATTAAGGACACATAATTTGATAAGTGTCATTAAAACCCATTTAGGACACCTTCTAATTTTTTTTTGACGGCAGACACCTTCTAATTAGTTAGAGAGTATTGACAATTTTTTACTGAGTAAATTTTATCGGGTCTGGACTCTGGACTCTCCATTCGAACTATCTCTCTAGGGTTCTTATATCCGCCGATTTCAATCGTCTTCTTCGCTTAATTCAGTGTCTTCCCTAGCCTTACACAAATCGTTCTTCTCATTCCATCTCCCATGCACTTAAACCTCATTCTAATATTAATTAATTTTTGTTTCACTCTCCCTTTTTCGCTCAAATTTTGCAGACTGAAGGAGATTTCCGATCTATCCAACGGTGACATGGAGCTGAATCAGGAATTAACCAAGACGACTCCAGGCTTAGCAGCTTCTGCCTACGATGTCGGCCGATTGGAGTCACCGGCACTAGGGCAGTGATTGATTGCTTCCATCTCTAATTTCCCATTTAATTCCTCTTTTTTAATTATTTTCTACTCTTCCTTGTGCACAAATCAGATGCTAAATTAAAGCACAAGGTCGGACTGACATCAATTTCAATTACAGATGCGTGTGTAGAGCTCTATGGATCCAAAGTTATACCCATCAATCTAGGTCAAATCTCTTATTACTTTTTATTTTTGACTTTGTTAATTGGATCGTGACTAGCTAGACTCTGGTATCTTGTTTGAACTGATTTATGAGTTCTTATAAGCATTGATATTAGCTTCATTCGATTGGCTTAAGTCTTGAGTTGTTTTTGAAAATTTGAATATGGTTTCTTCTTTCATGTATAACTTCAATATGTTGCATTCTGATTCTGTTCTGTGAAGCTTTAATGATTTGTGGGTGTTTGAGTTTCACAGGATTGTTTTTGTAGTATCATTGTTCCAAATAAAAATTATGTCCGTTCTGTTTTTTTATTAGGGCTTAGGTTTTGAATTTGTAAATCAATTTTATTCTTCTTTTCACAGATGTTTATATTTTAAAGAATGAAAATGTTGTAGATCTGATTCAACTGGTCTTCGGTCTAGTTTAGTGAATGGCCATCATTTTGTTCTTTTATACGTGTCTATTGCTGGCTTAATGTTTTATATATAGGCTGTAAGATACTTATGTTACTAAAATTGTTTGGTAAATACTTGGGCATTTGATAGTATAATTGTCAGTGTGTTGTGGTACTTTGCAGGAAAGTTAGCAAATGAATTTGGTCAAAATTTGAGAATCTTTCTGGTGTGCTTTTATACATAAAGTTGATAGCACATGAATTAATCCTGATTTTGGTTTTGCCTACTGCTTTCTGTTTCAGTTTTGGCATAGGTGCTTTGGCATTGGTTGCTGCCACTAGCTAATATGGGACTTTGGACAGAATAGAGCTTGTCAATTGTCATTGGCATTTGGCCATTGTTTCTTGGTTCTGATTTCGGCAATTTGTACAAGATGCATGCTTAGGGGGTTGTTTCCTCGCCATTTGCAGATTGAAGTGGCTTATTCATAGTGAAATAATATTTTTTTTTTGTAGTTAGGTTGTTGAACACTTTGGTTTTGATTTGCATTTTTTATTTATCATTGACTCAAATGTAAAATTGTAGACTTTAAGTGTAGTTTTTTCAGTGGGACTTCAGTTTTGTCCTGGCTTGTACTCTTTTCTTTTAATAAAGAATTTTGTTTCTCAAATATGATTTTGGTAATATCACAGTGCAAATATTATGATGACACATTTTAGGTGTCTTTATTTGATTTTAAGGACATTTTTAAGATAGTGCTTATGATACAGTATATAGCGTCCTAATATTAAATAGAGGACTCATATTGATAATATGAGGACACATTTTAGTTGTCATTTTATGGATTTAAGGACACTTTATGATGTTTTTAGGCTGTGTCCTTGTATAGAAGAGAGGACACTTTTTATACGTCCTTATATCAGACATACTATGACTCCCAGATAGAGGACACTTTGGTTCAGTGTTCTTGTATATAATAGATGACTTTTTTTACATGTCCTTGTATCCCTTTTTTCTTGTAGTGATAGATAATAAGCGGTATCTAGCAACACATTATTACCCCCAGATTATGAAAAAGATGTTCATCTCATCAATACCTTCTACGACACAAGACGTTCTATAACTATTATCCTTCTGTCCTAAATGTCATGATTTAACACAAGGCATGGGATGTGTATCCTTGTATAGTTAAATCAGCTGTTACTGAATCTC